TTATGAGGCCACTGATTTTGGTATCTTTCTTTGTTTAAATATTTTATTCTATCCCAGCCTTATTGTTAAATGTAATTACCTTATACTCAACTTCCTTTCATTGTTTAGATATATGTTATTGGAGCTTTTTCATTTTCTTTTTAAACTTAAGTTTGTTTGTACTTAAAAGATATTGACAGAGTGATCACATTACAGTTACATTTTCAGTTTTGTCCATATTTTAATTTTATTCAGAGAAGATTCTGGGGGCTGGAGAGATGGCTCAGTCGTTAAGAGCACTGCCTGCTCTTCCAAAGGTCCTGAGTTCAATTCCCAGCAACCACATGGTGGCTCACAACCATCTGTAATGAGATCGGGTGCCCTCTTCTGGCCTGCAGGCATATATTCAGACAGAACATTTAGACAGAATACTGTATACATAATAAATAAAATCTTTTTTTAAAAAAAGAAGATTCTGCTTTTAAATTTTTATTTTATTACTGTTATTATTTATTTTCTCATTGTTAATAGTTCTTTGGAAATCCAATTTTATTTGATCACATTCACCCACTCCCCTAACTCCACCCAGATCTACTTCCTACTTCTTTGCCAACCCAGGTTTGTATCTTCCTTTTATTTCTTTCTAAGCCCATGACGTGCTGCCTAGCTAAGAATGTGTGGCCTTGCACAAGAGTGTGGTCCGTCTCCCAGAGGTCACAGTCTTAAAGCTGGTTCTCCCTCTCTCAGACGTTATCAGATGTTAGCTAGTGATGGAAGTTCACTCCCACCTCCCTTCTCCACGTTGGGTTTTGGTCTGGCTTGATCTGGGCAGGTCTCACGGATTCTGTTCCAATTGCTGAGAAGTCAGGATATGCAACTGTCTTCCTGTATCCTGAAAACTGTTTCTTTGTAGTCATCTCTGGATCTTAGTATCTTTCTGCCCCTCTTGTGCAATGATCCTTGAATCTTGGACAAAAGTGGTGTGATATAGATAGATGTTCTGTACAAGACTGAGCATTCCAAAGTCTCTTATTCTCTGCACCTTGATCAGCTGTGTGTCTTTATGTTAATCACCATCTACTTAAAATCGTGGCTACTCCCCAAAAGAGCTGATAGACGCAATAATCTATGGGTATAATGATAGACACAAAGAGTCAGTTTAATATTATGTCTATTCGGCAGAATAACAATAATAGATTCTCCCTGAGGGCCTGCCCAGCCACAGGTTACTGGCCTGATAATGGTGCCAGGTACGGGTTTAATCTTTTGGAATAGGCCTCAGTGCCAGTCGGAGTGCAGTTGGTTACTCCCATGGTAGCCATGTCACTGCTGCACCGGTGGAGTGTTTTGCCAGGTCAGTCATTATTATAGCCCCCAGCGTCCGTAGCTAGGTAAGAGCGAGGATTAATTCTCTTTATTGTGAGCTTGCCTAACAATGCCCTGCACTATGAAAACCAGCCAGGAGGAATGAAGCTTCCAGGTGAGACCACCATCTTGATTGCAATAGCATCAAATCATTGGGTGCTGGTGGGGAGCCAAGAATACTGGCCATCGCTTGTAATGTCTGAGAAACTACAGGCTCTCATTGGCCAATGACTTCAAAAGGAGGTCAACTATTCCTGACACTTAGATTTGTATTTCTTTGCCTGTGGTGTCTAGAAGGTATATTGTTGCCCTGTTACAGGATAACTCCATTTACACTATGTGTGTGTGTGTGTGTGTGTGTGTGTGTGTGTGTGTGTGTGTGTGTACATTTCAGGAAGCTGATTCAGCATGTTTCTATGACTATTTTGGAAGGTTATTTGTTCCTCTCCATATTCTCTCGTACACTCTGTGCTCCCACCCACCCCAAATCTAACTTCTCCTTATTCCCCCTTCATCCTTTGTATCACGGGGTTCTATCTCCCCTTCTCTGAAAGCCTCACCTCCATGGCCCTTTACTCATTTTTTGACATTTAAGGGTATTCCAAATGGAACACCTGTACCTGAAAACTCAAAGCAAAAATACAAAAAAGAGAGAGAGAGAAAAAGAGAGAGAGAGAGAGAGAGAGAGAGAGAGAGAGAGAGAGAGAGAGAGAGAAAGAGGGAGAAAACGTGCTTTATTTATTTTGTTGGGTCTGGACTACCTCACTCAGAATGATTGTTTCCAGCTCTATCCATCTACCTGCAAATTTCACAACTTTGTTTTTCTTAGCAGCTGAACACTATTTCTCTCTGTGAATATGTCACATTTTCACTGTTCTTCCATCAGCCGACGGGCAGCCAGGTTCTTCCTTTCCCTAGCCACTGTGAAGAAAGAGCCATGAACACGGGTGAGCAGATATCTCTAGAGCAGGGTATATGGCCAGAAGCGGTGCAGCTGGATCACATGCTAGGCCTCTTTTGTGTTTTTGTCAGGAAACTCCACACTGATTTGCATAGTTGCTGCCTGCATGAGTTGTATCTTTCATTTTGTTCTCTTTTATAAATTTGAATGATGACAACATAGTTTAAAGGATTTTCTCATCTGACTATGAATGAAAACATGTTTTCCCTGTATCCTTTTCTTTAAAAAATGAACTTTCTGCATTTCATCTGGTGTTAATATGTTTTCACTTTGAATTTTAAATTTTATGGATTTAAAATGTTTCTCTTGCTTGTATTGTTTTGTGATGTCATACTTTAGTTTTCCTGAAGTTATCTTATTAGTATAGGCCCAAGGGTGCATTAGCTTTTCTTATTATTTTATAATATCTGGGAACAAAGTTCTTTACTGACAACCTTTTATTTTTTTAATTTTGAACACTTGTAATTTCTAGCATTGTTTGAAATGAGACGTTTAGAATAAGGTGTTTCTTTTGCATTGATTGTGAGATCCTTAAATGATGTGAATTAATGAAGCTATTTGACATGTCATCAAATGTCATAGCTATTCAGGTTTGCTGCTTTCATGTTGGTTTATACTTCCTGGTTTTCTTTTATCATCTTTAATAAATAGAAATTGATGCCATATCAGTATATTATATATTAATTTTATTTCTATGTATCATATCTATAGTTTTCATCACTTTTTAAGCTTTACTGACTTTTGTTTACATACTTTTAAAATTTATTCTCCTCTCATATATTCCATACCAGATACAGTTTCTTTTCCCTTCTCTTCTCCTAGTCCCTCCCACTCCACTCTACTCCCAGATCCTTCTTTGTTTCCTTCCAAAAAGAGCAGGCCTCTTGGCTATCAACCAACATGGCATAAGCTGCTGTAGATCGGGCACATCTCCTCATATTCAGACTAGATCAGGCAACCCTGTAGTAGGAAAAGGGTCCCAAAAGCAGAAAAAAGAGTCAAAGACAGCCCCCACTTCCACTGTTAAGAGTCCCACAAGAAAACCAAGCTTCACAACTGCAACACATATGCAGAGGACCTAGGTCAGACCCATGCAGGCTCCCTGATTGCCAGTTCAGTCTCTGTGAGCCCAGTTTAGTTGATTCTGTGAGTTTTTTTGTGGTGCCCCTGACCCTTCCAGCTCTCACAAACTGTTTTTAATGTTTTAATCAATTTTTATGTTTTTCTGTAAGCTTTTCTTTTGTATTTTTAGTTTTTCTTTAGATTTAAGCAAGAAAATTTTTGTATTTTTGTTTTTGTTTCCTGCCCTCCCCCCAGCAAACAGAGAGATACTTTAAAAAAATGGCAATTGTCTACTCCCAGATGTGGACACAAACTTCTCCAAGGAGCAAGGAGCTGCCTTGGTTTCTTTCACTGTTGGCAGAGACCTCAGGCTGCAGGCTGCATCTCTTACTCTAATCTCTAATGCAAATGCCTGTACTTGGTATCCTGCCTGTTGAATTTCAGAAAAATCTGAAACAGAGTTAACCTGGTAGCTCTTGCATGTGAAATTCTACTTCATGGCTTCTAAAAATTTTGAAAAAAAAAAGTGGCAGAGTTATTCATGCCCTTCTGTCCCTCCTTTGAAGGCCAACATTTCCCACCCACATTGTCAGAGTTTGAGCTGATTGCTGGTATCACCCAGCAACACTGGCTTTTTTTCTTTCTTTTTTCCTTTCTTTCTTTTTCTTTTAGCTTATTCTGCTCATTAAATTATTGACCTTGTCCTTGGTTACATTTGCATTCCTGATGTCTGGACTAGAGGTTAATTTTAACTGCAGCTTTTATTCTTTTAATTGTCATAACCTAAAGCGAAACAATTTTCTTCTAATTTTTGGGGACAAAATGTCCAACAGAAACCATTATCTTCGAGACTGTTGAAACCAGATGCATTCATCCATAATAATTTAACAGCAGCTTCTAGAACACATCTTGACACTTTAGTTTCCATGCTATGTGGGAAAGAATAATGCAATGTGTTAAATTAATCACTTTAATAGTATAATTTGGTGAGTATTAGTGAATGTGTACATTTGCGTATCTGTTAGAAATAAGATACAGAACAATATTCTCATCTCTGTAAGTTCTCTTACAGCTTCTTCTTGCCAATCTCTTCCCTCTACTCTCCAGTCATGAGCAATTAACAGTTGTTTCTGTTCTCTCATTTTAGCTTTTTTTCTAGAAGATTATACAAATGCAGGAACGCATTTCACATCTGCTTTCATCTACTGCAGTATCTCAGGGATCCAGCTTGTTACCCATATTGGTAATCCATTCCTTTTCGTGGCTGAATTGTGTTCCACGTCATAGGCTAGTGCTCTTGGCTTGTGCCTTTACCAGTGACAGGTAGTTAGGTTGTTTTGATGGTTTTTGACGGTGGTGGTCGTCTAACACGTGACCTTGTACACGCCAGGCAAGCACTGCAGTCCTGAGCCACAAACTTCAGCCTTTATCTAAATTTTTGAGCAGTAAGAAGTAAACTGTTCTGAGCTCTCATAAACTTAACATTCATGTAGACACATGTTTTCATTTTTATCTGGTAAATATCTAGGAGTAAACTTGCCAAGTCATTTGAAACATGTGTTTACCTGATAAGCAAACTATCGAGCTGCTTTCTGTGAATTACGGTATATCATGCTTAGCAGAAGAGGAAGAGTTGTGGCTGATCTGGGGCTTTGAACTAGTGCATAGGAGCTTTCCTTTGCACTATCCCAACCCTACTGGTATCAAGACCATCCTCTCCCATGGCTGTTGACACCTTGCGTCTTCTTTGGTGAAGTTTGTTCAAATTTCCTGCTGCTTTTTATCACGATTTTCCTCCTTGTTGAGTTGTAAGTATTCTCTATAAACTTGAGTTATGTTTCTAGTACAACATTTATTTTCTAAATATTTTACCCAGTTCAGGCTACAGCTTAGGTCTTTATTTTTTAATACTGTTTTTAAAGAGAAATTCTAGGTTTTTGTAACGTGCATACCATCATCCTTTTTGGTTTTGTTTCTTATATCCTAAGAAATCTATGACTATCACCAAAGGTTTTTCTTATCTGCTTATGTAGAAATCTTGTAGTTTAATTTTCATGGTAGGGTCTTTGTTGTATCCTGTGCCGATGCTTGTGTGTGGAATAAGGTAATGAGTGAACTATATATATATTTTTTCTTGTGGCTATTCAGTTGTTCTGAGTCATCCCTAAAGAAAAATATCCCTTTTTTCATAGCCAAATTCTCATCATCATTGTCAAATTCCCATTGACTGTATGTGTGAACTGATCTTTGGAAGATTTATTTTATTCTTTTAGTGTGTATAGCTGTGTGTCAGTCAATAACACACTGTTTTGGTAGGTGGAGCCATGTAGTAAAACTTTACATCAGGTAGCATAAGGTCTCCTTTTTTGCTCTGCTTTAAAAATATTGTTTGGACTAGTTTTCATTGATTTTAAATTCATTTCTTCATTTTCTATTTTTAAAACATCTAGAATTTCTTTGATAGAAACTGCTTTGAATCTGTGGATAAACTGGCTATAACCAGATACATCCCCACTAATCTAGCTCACCCTTGAACTTTTAGCAGTATTTTGTAGTGTTAAATATTCTATTTGTAGCTTTTTCTTATAATTTTTTAATTTGCTTCTGCGTGTCTGTGCATGCCCTCACTGCAGATGTGTGTGTGAAGGTCAGAGGGCAACTTGCAGGAATTGATTCTCGCTTTTCAGCATCATGAGAGTTGCAGGAGTCAAGCTCGGGTCGTCAGGGTTTGGTAAGTGTCCTTACCCATTCAGCGTGTCCAGAAATTTCTCAAAAATCATTCTTGTTCTCTGTGCACTTTTGAATACTTCTGTTGTCAGTATTTCTCAAATGATAAGCTCTTTGATTCTTTATGGTGTTGTGGTGTTTTTTTGTATCTGTGATGTGTCGGAGTCGACATTGACTTGTCCAAGAGAGAAAGTGTGACACAGGACATATTTTGAAAATAAACCTGCTGAATGTGGTGACGTGCAGGCCAGGGGAACCACATATAAGCAAAGAAGCTTCATCCCAAAGAACTGAACAGCCCCACATCCCACTGAAATGCATCTTTTAGATAACTGTTAGCTGACTGTGATTGCAAAGATCACAAGTATTTAGCTCTTTTTTTTTCTCTATAGCTGATTTGAAATAAGGAAGTGGGTACTTATAGCTCCGGGCTAGGTCTGAGGATTCAGTCTTCAGAATATTCCTTGTTTCAGGGCTTAGGGTACTTACTCTCCCCATAGCTGGTTTTAGGTTCCGTTTGAGCTTGATCTAAGGTCGGGAACTCAGCTGTGACAGTGGACTCCCAAAATTGCTGCTGGATTTGTAACCTGCTCCTGCAGGTTATTGAATTTGTAGCTTTGACTTGTGTGACCTCTGCCGCTGCCTCTGTCCTTATTTTATCTAGATTCTCTCTTTAGGATTTTGTACAAGGACATCACAGGTCCAAAGTCTGAGCCACAAGGAGATTCCATTAGAAAGCAGTCTTGAAAAGTTGATTCAAAGTTGCTGACATTCCACCATCTTCTGAGTTAGCTGCACTCAGACTGGAGAAGTGTTAGTGTATCCAACAGTTCCTAAGCCCCTTTGTGCTAACTTCTGTAGCAGCAAATTTTCTCATTGACATTTGAAGATGGAGAAATGACTTAAGGATTTATCTGGCAACACAGTGTTTGAAAATAAGAGAAAAAGTCATTCTTTGAAGTTTAATTATACTTCATACATTTACCTAGACCTTTCCGAAACTGCCTTTGGAGCGGGGGAAGAGAAAGCCAGTAGTGGCTCCTTCCCTCATCTTATTTTGGTTGATATTCATGTAAGAAGCTTTCATGGTGATCCTTGCAAGCCATGGAGTTGCATTTTCATCTACGTGCTGTTTATTGACCCAAATTTACCAGTCTAGTAGATCATAAAAATTACTATTGGTGTGTAACACCTATTCCTTATTTATTATTAAAATTAGAACAGATTACTAGCTACTTCCACTTTTTAAACTTCTTGCTCTTCAATTACATACTTTTCTATTATTTTAATTCTGTTAAAAAAATTGTGTTTGTCTTTGAGGAAGGCATTTGACTCACTTTGGTTTTTTGACCAATCTTATTTTTAAATGGTTTTAGTTTTCCTTAGAACCTTATACTTACATTGTGAGTTGTAGTGTAAATAACTTGCTAAATAAGTTTTGTTTCCCATTCCTGTACTTTGTTCTTTCTCTGCCTCCCTTCCTGGCACCTTTATTTTGTTGTTGCTTTTCCTTCCTCCTGCCCCTTCACATCTATCATAAGGCTGCTCCCTTCATCACTGAAGCTCCTCTCATTTTACCTTCCAGAAGAACAGGCTTCACCTTACCAACTGCAAACACAGCCCTTTCTCCCTCTTTAATGGACAGCACCTTGCTCCTTCTCTCTAAGATGCAGACTTACAAAAAAAACAAAACAAAACTCAAAAGAAGCAGTGCATATTTTTTAACCCAGTATTTTAGAGATTGGTCATGTATCTGGCTTTGTTGCTCTGTCAAAAGAGGCAAATATCTGAGCAGATGGGGAATTAGAAATTTTAGGGCTTGAAAGAAGAAAAACTCTCATTTCAGCTCAAAAAGTTAAAAGCTGATTTTAAAACTCGAAATGAGTTTCATATTCTGGTTCCTCTGGGGCTCATACAGCATCTGATCTTTGCAGACTCCTAGCAAGTGCCACATTTCTCTGCTTTCATGTCCCTGCTCACAGCTTCTGCAAGGCTGTGGGGAACACCCTGCACGCATGCTCTCAAAGGCAGGAGGCACTCACCATGGACCAGGCATTTGCTTTTCATCTCTGCCTACATGCTGCCCTCTAAAGAAAATGCATCCTCCACATCTGTCCAAGCTGTCACTCTATTCACTGTTCACGGAGAAAACATGTGCATGCAAGTGATGTCAGAGGACAGTTTCACACCAAGAACCATGAAAGAAGGAAGGCAAATGAGGCAGGAACCCTGGAGTCTGTTGATCCTGGAAAAAGGTTAAAGAAGGAAGATTTGCCTCCCAAGGGCTCCAGAGTGAATGAACAATAGTGGGTGAGCCTTAATGTAGACTCAGCCAACAGTTATGACCACGTGTCTTGTGTTGGAACATTACTGCCCTCCCAAGCCAAGGCTATGTAGAAGGAATTGGCTCCAACATGTACACTTACCTTTCCTTTCAAGATTTGAAAAGCACAACATATGGCTGTTTAGAATTAATTAAATACTTGTTCTTAGGAAATGGCTATAGCTGCTAGAAGCCTGCTCATTTCCTGCCAATGTAACTTTCATGTCAATGTTATCAGAATAATGAGACTTTGACCTAAAATAAGCCAGAGTGTGGACACAGAAGAAATGCTAAGATCCTCTATTTGGAGGAGGAGCAACAGTTTGGACAGGAAATTAAAAATTAGAAATTATGTATTCTGTGGTGTAGAAGATAGAGGAGATGATTATTACTTTGCTGTTCACAGTCAATATTAATTTTAAAAAGGTCTAGGTATTTTTTTTTCTTCCAGGAAGATGAGGTAGAAGGGCACTGGAATGCGTCAACAAGAGTTGAGGGCTTCCTGGAGGTGACAGAGTGAGAAGAGCAGGAGACTTTCTGAAAGGGACAGCTGGTGACAACAAAGGTGGCAGGTGTGGGGGACTAGGCTGGACTGTGCACCTGGACCCTAGGGAAAAAGGAGATGAAAATATGAGGAGGTTGGGAGAGGTGAGGATGTCAGTGCTGCTCTACCCTAGAGGGCTTTGCACAGCTCCGGGACTACTCAGAGCAAATTTTACCCATGGGAAGACTCCCACACTGGGAAAAGCCCACAGTGGGAGAAGCCCCCACTCTGTGCTTAGGTCTTGGTTGAGCAGGCCTGGTTTCAGTGTGAGGGATTGTGTGGATTCCAAAGTTCATTCATCACTTTTCCCGGAACTGGTCATCCCCATGGATGGAGCAATCTAAACAGTTTCTCCTCATGTTTCTCTTATATGAAGATTACTGTGCTGATTAAGACAATTATGATGCTATTCCATAATCAGAGTGGTTTATAAACAACAAAAATTTATTTCTCATGGTTTTTGTTGTTTAAAAAGTCCAAGTTCAAGGTCAGTTCAGTGTCTAATGGGGTCCTGGTTTTCTTGCTGAGCTCTCTTGCTGTGTTCTTCTTGTGATGGATAGGCAAAGGGTCTTTCTGGGCCCAATGATGATGGCTGTGTTCTTCTGAACAAACAGCCACTCCCAGACTCCTGTGTGTCAATGCTATTTTCTTCAGAGATAGGATTTCGACATGTGAAGTTTGGAATTGGGAGGCCAAAATTCCGACCACAGTAACTATTGCTTGGATTCTGGCAACTTCATCCTTTGTCGAACATGTTGACAGTTGTTTGCTTTTGTTTCTATATTGAAGCCTGAGGGGTTTTAGCAAATATTTCATTAAGCTTAATCTATTTATGACTCTGTAATCTGCTTATACACCCAAATCACTTGGCTCATTTAGGTGGTCTTTTCCATATGTGATTTAAAGTCATCTGAGAATTGTGACTAGCCACTGCCCCACAGCTCAGGTTATGCGGAAAAGTATTATTTATAATTTATTTTCCCTAATATATTTCTCAAAATTTTGTCTCAGAGTATGTCATGCATTACTGTTTGCCAAAGAGTGAATCATTTCATACTTCTATAATAAAGGTCAGTTATTAGGATGTGTACAGCCGCCTTAGGTAGGCAAGAGAGAGTCCTGAGTAGGAAGAAGGTTGGTCGTCCTCCCAAAGTTTATGATAGAATGCACCATCTCTAATCAGGTCCCATCTGGAGGAAGTGTCGGAAGGCTCA